TTATGATCATTTTACTAATTTGAAGCAAATATTTTCGTTCTATATTTTTCGAGAAAAATCTTTCAATGAAGTTTTAATCTAAAATGTTTCATATAGGCACTTTTCCTAGTCATTGGACAGTTCTGAAACTTTCAACGAAAACGATCATGTCTTCTTCAAGATATTCGATTTCCAAGTAAACTCGATTACTTTGTCCTCATATTGTAAACTTCTGCTTTCTTTGTTTTTGGATATTGAATATCTCGAGAAAGTCATGTTCATTCCAGTTGAAACTTTCAAGATTACCTCATGACTATGTAACGTGTCTCAAGACAAACTTCAAGTCAAAACTCTTTCTTTCGAACTTTTTTGGACACGCTTTGCTCTGAATAATAACTTCATTTAAATAGTCACGACTTATTATTGGTGGACCATGGACTAGAACCAAGGAAAGTTTGTCTCAGTAGGTATGCACAATCTGCCGGTAAAATGAAAAAATTTCCCCAACAGTCGTTCGCGCAGACAGATAATTCTACATGGCTGAACTGCTGGTGTATTAGAGGACACATTTTTAACAGTAAATTTCATAAAATAAGACTCCTGATGTGAAAAACTTCAGCAATATGAATAGTTTTATAAAATTATATTCACCGCCTATTGAATTTGATGAATATCATTGAACTAAGAAGATACTTTCCGTAAAAACTCGTTGCAAGGAAAAACATGCAATTCTTACTTTAAAAAAATAAAAATGACCATAACCTTGTATTATATTTCTGCATTTCAATATATCTTTTTTCTTCAGATGATATCTCGAATCTTTTTCTATATAATGATATATTTCAATCAATTAACTGTCTATAACATTGCCATGGATAACATCAATTTAGTGAAAGCAATCAAAACTTTTAAATCACTTTTTAGAATCATCTACAATTCAAGATGATATCATCAATAAAAAAGCTGGTAAACAATTAGCCGAACATAAACTTCATACATCATAAAATTTAAATATTAACTTTAGAAAAGTCAACCGAATCTTTTCTACTCACAAATGAAAGTTTATAGCGAAAATCGATTTCACCTGTACTGCCAAATATTATTGAAGATCTTTATGCGCTTCTTATTGAATCGTAAATTCTTCTTCAACAAAAAGAAATCACTTTTTTGTTATTTTTAAAATAGATTTCAGCAAATGACAGACATCGAGCAAATTTCATTAAAAAGAAATCTTCAACTTAGTAAATTAATTTTGTTTCCTTCAAAAACAAACCCTTGTTTTAGAAAAAATTTTAATTTCTAACTCATTTAAATACTTCAAAATTACAAAATTTCTTTCAACAACGAATTAATCGAATAGAAAATGTTTTAAACGATCAAAAATATCATCAAGAACTAATTAAATCTGTACATACACAAATTATTGACATTGAATAAATAACTAATGAAATAAATATAGATTCAGAAAAACAAGAAATTTTTCATAATTTAAATAATCAATTCTATAAATCCAAAGTTATTTTAATCAAATTCAAAAACATGAATGTTTTGAAATTCAACCGATATTTCGAACACATCTTGAATTAGCTTTTCGAACACTTGATATAGATTTACAACTAACAGGGCAAATTTTTAATGGTAAAACATTAACAGATATTATTCCTAATAAATTATCGATTATAATAAAAACATCTTTGCAATCTATGACACCGATTGAATTACAAATTCATAAAGATATAACATTGATTCATGATAATTTATCAATTATAGCTATGAATATGAAAAATTGTCAGACCATAATTCATGAAAAGAAAATATCACAAGATTTACTAAGAATAGATATTGTAAGTTATTAATATTAGATTGTTTATTATCTAATCGAATACTTATAGAATGATCGTCTTCAAATTATTAAAAATGCATATTTAGAACAGAAAATAAACGAAAAAAATCTACAATCGATAAAAATGACTTTGAACAAATTTGTTGCATTTGATCAAGAACAAATAGAATTTATTAATAATTAGAAGATATTTATAATATGTTAAATAAAGAGTCAAATAAAATTCAAAAGAATTTATTAAATATTACAACTGCTCGTTATCATTCTAATCATGCAAATTTTTCATTAAATGCTAAATTAAAATATCTTCCAGTTGATAATTCAGAAAATTTAATAGAACAACCTTTATGTCTTGTTGATGAACTTAATCTTATTAGATTACCATTTGAATCAGATCATTTTCATATGTCAAATGATAAACGTGAATTAATAATTGTTGATAAAAATGAAATACCATTATCTGAACCAATCATTTTTAAACAATTAACATTGGAATCGATTGAACTTGAATATATTGGTGATTATCGAAAATCTATTCAAATTATTGAAATATCATCACATCATTCAATAAATAAATCTATTACTCTTAATGTAAAATCGATTTCTTTTGATAAATTACCAGCAAGTAAGTCCTCATTCTAAGCAGATATTATAGAAAATCATTTTTGTTCTACAAAACTATTGTTTTCATGCTTCTTGTTGTACAAAAATTCAGAAGATTCATAATCACTCAGTCGTCCAACTGTAACCCATGAAAGACTGTTAATTAATGATAGATCTATTGAGAATTAAAATATGTAATCAAATTTAGCATCTTTTAATGTATTTTTCACAATGTTTGAAGTAAAACTTCTAACTGTTCAATGAATAAATTACATCAGTTTATTTGAAATTGAATTCCGTATATAACGAGATCACAATAAACTTTTCCGAGAGAAAATCTAAATTTTGAAAACACTAATTACCACTAACTACCCATAAATACTTCCGAACAATATGAGCAACAGGCTGTTATTTATGACACTTTTTTGAAAATCTTAAGTAATGCATTCCTTGCTCATCAAAAACTTTGATTAGAAGTCAATTGATAAAATTGGAACGACTTTAGATTTTCAAAAAAGTATCAAATTCAAATATTTATAAACTAAGAGACGGGTACCTGATTGAGAAAAGTCTAGAATCACAAAAAAAAGGAATTTTTTTACATATTCGATCTGAAAAATATCATTTAGGTATTTTGGACGGTTTCAGCAATATTTTATAGAGGCATATCGACACGAAACAGGATCGAATTCAACTCCAATTTTTAGGACTCCGTTGTTTTCCATGTTCATTCAATTATGCTTTAGATCTTTAAGAAAAAAAACATGAAAAGTATTCTATTTGTTATGCGCTACTTCTTACATTCTTCCGCGTCCAATCAACTGTATTATAATATGAAATATAACAATCGATCTATATTTTTTTCTAGGTCAAGCATTATTTGTTGTCGATAGTAATGATCAACTACTTGATCATACTTATTCATCATTAAATATTTCCGATTGTGATCTTGTCACTTTTTATACGATGAAAAAACTAATGAACAAATATTACTTACACCTGAACAATATCTGATTACTATTCAACTATCTGATATTGGAATTCAAATACGACATTCAATTGAGAATATAATTTCAAACAGATTAAATTTATTTGATGGAAAACCACGTGAATTATTTACATATTTGAAAGCATCTGAAAATAAAAATGAATTTTTAAAAATAATATCCGATGAATATGAATTTATTAATGCTTATACACAAAATCGACTTGATAAATTAAAAATCGAAGAAAAAATCATCGAACTCATTATACCTATCTTAGGTAAAATAAATTATTTAAAAAAAAATATATTAACCAAATTCTTTTTTTTCATAGACAAACAGTATGATGATATTTCAATCGATCAAATTGAATACAAACGCGAACAATCTAATATGGATAATCTTCTTAATACAATGAAATCGAAAAACTCAAACAATTGGATCATTAGAAATTCAAAAACTTGAAACTAATCTTATTCAACAATTAACTCTAATATCTATTCAATTTGATGATCCATTAATTAATAATTAAACTAGTTAAAAATCCTACCAATCATATGCAAGATACTCAACTTCTCAATGAACTTCGACCAATTATTCTTTCGGATTAATATTATTTGTTCTTATATTAAATTATGTTCTTAATTTATAAATGATTAGGTATTAAAAATCGTGCAAAAACAATTGAAGAAAAATTTGAAACATTATTAATAAATATTCAAAACAAATCTCATCAATTAAAACAATCAGAACGCATTCGATTTGAATATTTTCAATTTTTATACATACGATTTAATGAAGAAATGGAACATGAAAAAAATATCGAATATTTATATGATAAAATCGAAAAAATGCAATATGATCTTCATCAAAAAATGAGTATGAGTTATTCTAACGCATGAATATATCTAACTATCAAGCATCGTTCCATTGTATATTATGGCTATGAGTGAGTTTTGATGAGACGAAGAAAAGGTTAAAAGTATTCAGACATATGATCTACTGATGAAGAGATATCGCTGTTTTAATTAAACTTTTACTAAGAGCAAGACATGTCGTTCTTGAGATATTCAATTTCCAATTACACTTCATTACTGTGACCTCTTATGGCATTTTCGGTTTTTTGAAAATGTCTCATTGAATATCTTCATATTAAATAAACAACAATCACTTAAAGATAGATCGATTTTGTCTCCAAGGGGATCAGTCGATTTAGAATTATAACATTGCTCCTCTTTCTTCCTGAGAAAGGTTCGAAACCTCAGCTTATTACTAAGCAGATAATTCATTTTTACTGTATCTTTTAAATGCATATCATGTCTCATCCTTTAGAAAAAACTTATTTTCCAATTTCGACTGGAAACTTTGTACATAGACACGTTTTAATGATAGTAGTTTATTATGAAAGGTATCTGTACAAAATTTGAAGTTGAAGTATGAAAACTAGTTATCCTGAGATGAACCACGGCGTTCATTTAAAAACTACCATAAAAGTCCAATATCTCTGCAATAAAAAGCTAAGATTCAGAACTCTTTGTAGAGTATTCATTGCTTATTTGCATCTACATGATCCACGTAATTCAGACTCAACAGCAATTACTTAACTGACAAACTTTCGTAGTAAGCGTGTTCTTAAGAAGTCAAATATCATATATCATTTTTGTGATATATATTTGTTGGATTTATCCTTTGTGAATTAATAATTGTAACATTTTTTATTTTATTAATAGCTGATTCATTAGAAATAATAAAACTTGAAGATCTTAATAAACTAATAAAGAATGTATATGATATAAATCAAATTGAAATTCCTAATTATTTAAAAACTAAAAATGAAAAGTTAATACATATATTTAATTTTATTCTTCGATTTCTTCATAATCAATTAAAAATAATTGAACAATATAAAAATAAGATATTTAATGAATTAGAACAATTTCAAATTAAATCAATAGATAATAATGAAAATTTTTATTTTCAACAAATAATTTTTATTAAAAATGAAATAACAATTAATAATCATAAGAAATTATTAAGACTTATTAAAAAAATTGAAAGTTTTATTAAATAAATTAGAAACAATTAGTGAAAAAAATTTACAATATGATTTTCTTTATTCAAAATTTGATCGATTATATGATATATTAATGAATAATTATCAAATTAATCTTCCTGCTAAAACAAATATTGAATTCATACGTGATACATTACGTAGTAATAAAAAGAACCTCAAGAAAGAAATGCAAGAATTTGATACAACAAGAAATGAATTATTACGAAAACTTGAAGTTTTAAAAAAGAAAGAAGAATTAAAACAACGTACAATGTTAATTTCAATTAATGAAGTAAATATTTTTCATATATGATTGCAAATTAACTACAGAAGAAACATACGATTCTAGTTTTTGTTAATGTGATCAAGACTGTTTTGACAATAAAATAAATGAGACTGATATTTTCTGAAGAGCAATAATTCTATTGCTGATGATCGATGTACAAACTAATTTATCAATCTATTCTTTTTCTGAATACCATTATTAAATGTTAAACCTATTCTATTAAGTAATGAGTCGAGAATAGAACCAGTCGCATTAGTCCTGGACATGAGTCTGAAAATTTTTGAACCAACAGGCTTTAGCTGATAGTTCACTTGTTTTTGAATCCAGACCCAAGGCATCTTAACTTGGTCTCGACTGGATCTGCATCTAAATTTTTTCCGATATGTGGCATTCTCTATGTGTATGGACAAATGAAGGATAAAAACTTTTAGTTCTTAAACAATAGTCAATCTAAAGTCCAATTGTTTCCTGATTAGACATATAGTTAGATACTAATATAGTTATATTTTACGATACTTTGTTACTTTTCATTCTAGGAAGATCAGTTAAGTTCATTAAGTGCATATATTCAACAATCAGAAATTGAACCATTAAATATACATCATGAATTTTACTCAATGAAAATTCAACAAATCACTAATGATCTCGTTTCTATGTTTCATTCAAAGACTTCTGATTCAAGTTTATTTAATACGAATCAATTTAGCAAAATATTCGATCATTTGAAAACTTATGAACAAATTTTAAATAAACAAAAAATTAACAATGATAACAAATTAAAACATGTTGAAGACGAAATTTCTATAGCACGAGGATATTCATTATTTGACAGTCTTGTTCGTGAACAAATGGACAATCTAATAAAACAACCAAATGAATTTGCACATCATAAAGAATTAATTATTAAAATGCAAGCAATTCTAAATGAGACAATCAATCAATTTCATTCATTATTTATGTTTGATTTTGAACACGACAAAAATCAAGAATTACTTAAACAAATGAAACAGAGAGGTATATATACAGTGGTTCCCAAAATTGTTTGATCTGGTTTAGTTTCAATTTTTTTCCGATGTTGTCAATGCTAAGAAGAACTTTAATAATAATTTATGTAGAGAATTTTATTTTCAGCAGTACTTTTTCAAGATAACAAGGACGGCTAGTTTTTCTAAGATAGTTTTCTGCTTCGTAGAATTTACAACCACAATGATTATTGAATTATATAGCATGATAGAGCAAAGACACCATACAACTTTGTATGACTTATTTTAATTGAGATACATCAATCTTACGGAAGGTATACAAAAGTTTTAGTCTACGAAATAACAGAAGAGTGACTTTGATAACTTTCGGAAGATTGATGTATCTTAGTGAAAATAAGTCGTAAAAAACCGGAAGACATTCTGTTTTGTAGAGAATTATTTCCTGTATAATCGTAAGTAATTCAAATAGAATTCCATCAGATGAAAAATTTGATTTTTGAGTCTTCAGATGACGTATTTTAGAAAACGTGAACGATCAACGGAAAATTAAAACTAATCCATTCGAATGTGCGTGAATGGGCCTGTTTCTCTCACCCACATCCGTTGATAATAGTGGAAATAAAACTGAAAATAAATCTAGTCGAATAGTTTATGGAAACCACTACGTGTTTCTATTGTTTAGCTATAGATACAATTATTCAATCTGTTCAATACGAACGTTTATCCAAGCATATATCTCCTCATTTACTCTTATTACATAAATTAACTTCTCAACAAGAATTAATACCATCAATAATATCATGTTCTGTCATATTACACCAATTAGAAATACAAACATTCATACAACAAGAATCTCCATATCAAATGTTTCATTTTCAATATCAATCATCAACAAATTTCATCATTAGATTCTATTGATTCAATAAATCATCAAATTTTACAAACTGAAATTAATTATTTACAAAAACAATATGATGAAGCGAGTGCTATTGGTGATTTTACTCAACAATCAGCTGCTGAACACATTATTTCAAATAAACTTCTAATGATTGAATCTTTTCAAGAACAAGAAAAATCATAAAAAGATAGTCAAATAGAAATTCAAATTTCTTTCACAATCGATAATCAACAAACAGTTGAATATAAAAAATCTAAAACTTCAATAAAATCATCAACTATCAATGAAAAATCTCTTGATACAAATCAAATTAATGAACAAATACATGAATATTTGAACAATTATGATACAATTTTACAAAAACATATACAAAATGATCAAGCAGAACTTTCTAAAATACAAACTGATATTGATCAAGTAGAAATTCAAACAGATAAATTATCGTCTACCCATATAGAACAAGAATCAAATAAAATAATGCATCAACAAACGACTGATACTATTGAAGATCTTCATCGATTAAGTATACTTCTAAAACAAAAAGATAAAATTCCTCTCCTAATTCATAATAATTTAGAAACATCTCTTGAAAAATTTCAACAAGAAAATAATCGCGAAAAACAAATTGATATACAACTTCAAATCTTAGATAAAATAGATCAATTAGATAACCAATTCATTAATCATAAAACTTTAGAAAATCTTCGTAAACATCTTCACGAAGAACAACAAAAACAACAACAAGCTTCATTAAATCTTTCATCAGATAGACAAATGCATAGTGATACTCATATTCAAATTATGCTTGTTCCAACTCATCTATCAAAATCATCAACAATGACGATTGACAAAGAAAAACAAATTAAAAATATTTCACATCAAACCTGCTATTAGTGAATTAATACCAAAGATTGATTCAGTCGAACAAACTAATCTTTCATTAGTAACAACTAATGCAAAAGAATTATATCAAGAATTACAAAAAATGAAATGATTTTTGAAAATACTCAACAAGTATAAGATATTGTAGATGTTAAAGTTCCACCACTAAGTGTTGTAGAATAAAAAATTCTATTAGATATAATTTGATATTTCTAGAAAATTCCAATGGCCAATGAAAATATATGTAGAAATCGAACATGATGAAGAATATCACACAATTGATACTATTCATAAAATTTGTGTACCTAGTCAAAATCGTTTGCAATCAAATTCTATTGTAGCCATGAATAGTTCATCTTCATCTAAAATAGTTGATATGCCAAATAATTCTGAATATCAATCATTACGATTAACAATAGTCGAAAATGTTGAGAAATATTCAATTATCGAAAGAAAATCTAAAGATCGAAAAATTGTTATCTCAACACAATGATCTATTCCTCAATTGAAACGAGAATATGTAAAAAGTTTATATTCGACATGGAGTAAATGTTTTCATATTCAATATTTGATGAAGGAGTTATAAAGAAAAGGATATAGTGAAATTTTCAGTACAATATTATTATGTTTTCATGAAATAACTTTCAAACAACGATTGAAAATAGTTAATAGGTCAAACCTAAGATTCTCTATGATTGTCCATTATCAGTGTATTACGCAGTATAGAGGTCAAGTCCACATTCACTTTTCGGAAGCAACGAAGGTCTAAAAATATGTCTGTTGATTTCTACTTGAAATCGAATGTATTTTTTTTCATCTAAGTTTAAATTAAAATCAAATAACTTATTATACACTTGTTTGATAAATATCTCTTGAAAACATAATGTTATTGAGTTGTTTAGAAAATTTCATACGATCTAAAGGAGAAGAACTTATACATGTTTTAAATATTGATAGTTTGTTGATATTAACTCGTCAAAATCAAATATTGATGAATAATGAGCAAAAAATGAAGAAAAATTTCGTGAAAAAATCAAACGAAAAACACATTTAGGTCAACTTGAAAAAATAAAACAAGGTAATATTGTTAATCATCATTGAGTAGATTTATCAAAGCATGTTTTACTTGTTCCACAACAAGCAACTTATGAAGAAAATCTCGAACTAATACCACCATTAATTCATGTAAAAGATACAACTAATTTTACATTCAATCAAATAAACATTGCTCCATTAAAATCTAAAAGATCATTACCAGTAGTATCAATATCTGATACAAATAATAAATCTTTTGATGTCAATACAATTGATCATCAGAGTCAAAAATCTGAAATGAAACTATCATCTTATTCTACAACTATTCTTTTTCCTGTTCAAGAAGAACCAGAAGAAATTCAGATATCCGAAGATATACTATTTACTAATATAACAAATAAAATTAATGAATTAATAACTTTTGATAATAATGAAAAATTAAAATCTCTTCATGAAATGCCTTTAAATTTGTCGATTACTGTTCCATCAGATCAAGGGGGAAAAAGCGGATTGTGGTATCCCGGTATCCTCCGTATCCTCTGTATCCCCGTCGTATCCTCCGTATCCCCATTGTATCC